AACCAGGGCGGTCTGCGCGGCGACTTGTAGCTCTTCTAGGGGCTGGTCGTCGGGGACCTGCATGTCTGTGAGTCTGGCGGGCCGACATCGCACGACGTGATGGAAGGGCGGCTCGAGTCCCTCTTTGAGGAGGGTCTCGCCCCTTGGGAGGGGCATTTTTGGGGTGGCCCACTCCGCCTCAACTGCTGAGTGCCCGTCCCCCTCGAGGGCCCGTTGCCACCTGCTTATATGAGCCGCTATGGCGTCATTGCGGTGCTCTGGTGCGAGTATGTGCAAGGCGTCGCTGGTATCGGCGTTGTTGCTTCCCCAATGAACCACGATGGATGGCGGAATCTGCGTTCTCTGGGGGTTGTCCGTTGCGTGGAACTGCGCCGCTACCAACTGTCTGAAGGGGGGGTCATCCTCCCCGTTCGCACGGGGTTCCCTATGGGTACCAAGTGCGTGATCAGGCTTGCTGCCCGATACCCCCACCGTGCATTGGCTATGGCAGTCAGCTCGATCGGGCCTGGGCCTCCCGGAGTCGGGACCCCTTGCGCGGTTAAGGCGAGTATCCTGCAGGGACCGCCGCCCGAACCTGCCGCCGCCAGCGCTGCTTGTATTTGGGATGCGCTTGTATCCGCGACCAGCGCGGCGGGGGTCGCGCGCTGGCCTTCTTCTGCTTCAGCTTTGGCGCGGACCCATTCCATGATCTGTTCATGCGCGCTCGGGCAAGCCATCGCGAGGGTGGTGCCCGCGCCATCCGCGTCTCTGTTGCCAAGTAGGGACTGCCGGGTGATCACCAGTTCAGCCCCGACCTCCCTGACAGTGGCCATGAGCAGCGGGACAAGGAAGGAAGGGGGGGGCCCCGCGCCCCGCCTCTTATGGTGGGAACCTGGCTAGCAGAGTGGCCCATCTAGCATGAGTAATTAGCGGGATTGAGCGCATCCTTTCCTGTCTGGAGGGGGGGGGGGGGGGGGGGGGGACAGCCCTCCCTCCTCCTCCACCGTCATTCTCTGGCGTGGGGGGCCGGTCGCGCCATCCTGGCCCACTTCCATTTCTGCTGGCTGTGGTGGGGGGGGGGGGGGGGGGGCCTGCGCGCTGTTATATGGTCGTGAATCCTCTGCGTATCACGCACTGTGATGTATGTGTTTGGTCTCCGAATGGAGACCAGGTCGGCCCTTGGGCAAACCAGCTCCCTGGCTAGGGCGCGCGCCGCGGAGGCGAGGTCTCGGCGCGTGATGGGGGGCCTCTGTCGTTGGCCCTGCAGTGGGGGCAAAGAATTGGCATTGAATTCCCTCCGTCCCTGAAGATCTCTGGCTGGCTCTGTCTCCAGCGCTCCAGGCTGCGCCTGTGGAATCTGCGTCCGCAAAGAATGAAGACTTCCACCGTCCCGTCGAGATCCCCCGTGCAGATGGTGCACGCCTGTGGCTCCTCACCTGCGCCCCCTCCGGGCATGGGCTCCTGCCCGCCTGCTCCGAGCACCCTTTCTGCGTCCCCAGGCGAGTCCGCTGCTTCGGGGGTGGAGGTGCCCAAGCTTCCTATGAGAAACGGGGTCGTCGAAACCGCTTCTTCCTCGGTTAGGCATGCCCTGAGGCCGGTGCTCCATAGGAGGAAACGTATTTGGTTGTTTCCGAACGGTGCGTACGCGTTGGGGGCCTGTTCCCCCCCTTCGCCCAGTGCGCTTCTGATGTCGCTGGGCGTATGTATGCCTGCGAGTTGCAGCCATCTGGCGAGGACCTCGCATGCTCTAGTGTCCATGCCTCGTACCTGGATCAGCGGTCGAAGGAGGGGGATATAGCGTGGTGCTAGACATAGCCACGTGGCATTGGATATCCAGCTTGGAGCTGCGGTCGACACAGTGCTGCCTAGCTCTTCCAGCGGCTTCGTCGTCTCTCTGCGTGGCGCCCAGGGCTCGGATGAGGGCGTCTAGTGTGTCGCTTCTGCGGTCTGCCCGGGCCGGAGACCTGCTGCCGTTGTCGAGATCCTCGCCGTGTATTTGTCTGATATCCGCGTGCCATGGGGTTGTGGTGCCCTGTGCCCCTCCCTCCGCTGCAGGGGGGTCGTGGCGACCTCCCGCTCCTCCGACGCTTCCGTTGCTGTTTCGAGCGCTCGTCCTCGCAAGTCTTGCCTGTGCTCCTCTTTCTACCGCGCCCCGGTCCCCTGTCAGTATTCCTTCCTGGACGTGCCCGAAGGGGTCGAGCCAGCTCATGGTGCGCTCCTGGAGTTCTGGGTGGATGTGACCTCCTGGGAGGGGGGCCTCAGATTTTCTTCCCGTTAGGTGTGGGATGGTTGCCGCTGCCCCCGCGAGGCGGTGGTGAGCTTCCTGCAGGGTGGAGATGCCCACTGCGTCCATCGTCGGGCTGCGTGCGTCACTACGTGGGTGGATATCCAAGCGGCCTCCAAGACGCCTCGCAGGGTGTTTCTTCCCCCTTCTGTGACTGATTCCCAAATAAAAGGGGACCAGTATCCTGCTCCAGGTCATGTTGCTCGGTATACTGTCGCTCGCTGCCTGCTCGCGGATAGCCGCGATTTCCTGCAGCAGGCGGCGGGCGCTGCTCCACCTCTCCGGGGACAATTGAGCGCCACTGCTCGGTCGCCGCTCCTCGACGGTGCGGTTGTCGTGGTATTCGCTCCTCACTGCTTGCTGGTTGGCTCCGCTGGGTGCGGGGGCGCCCATCCCGTAGAGCCTGGCGCGGAGCGTGATTGCGAGGCGCATCGCGGCTCCACAGGGGCTGTCCGGTGCGAGGTGGTCCGCGATGAGTCGCCCTTCTCTTCTGGCAGTGGAAATGAGGGCCGCGCAGGCTACCTCCGTTGCCTCAACGTCCACGCCCTGCGCCCCAGGGGTGTGCTCGTCGGCTGCTACGACGCCGAGTGCTTTGTCCAGGAAGTTCCCCCCTATTTCGCTTTGGAGCCAATCGGCGTCTCCCGTGGGGATGTTGTTGAGGCTCAGTTGGGATCTCATCCTTAGGCCTTCCGTGTTGATCCCTGTGTTTGCAGGGTCAGGGAGCCGGTTCGGCACCGCTATGCGAGGGAGCTGGGCGAGGCTTCTGGGCACCCGCTCAAGCTGGCTGGAGGGGCCCTCCCTGATGCGGTCGCGAATCTGTGACACGGCCTCTAGGGCCCATCCCTGCGGGGCGCTACAAAGTCTGGCGAGGGCGCTCACTGCGGTATTGAGCATCGGTTCACCCCCAAGGCTTGGGTCCTCTCTGTGTGCAACCGGGTACCAGGGTTCGCTTGGGTTGTCCGTCATGTGACGCCATGCTGCAAGTAGCTCAGAGATGAGCCAGGTTGGAGAGTAGCTGGTAGTCTCCGGTAGGTGGTCTGGGGAGATAATGTGGCTGGTAATGGGAGCGTATCGCGCTCCTACCCTGGCCAGCTGGTAAGCGAGTTGTGTGCCCAGAGTGTCGAGGGGGTGTCCAGGTGCTTCCACACTGTCGGAGTAGAACCCGTCCACCGCTAGACACCATGGCGTGGCTAGCCTGTGGCAGACGATGCACAGGGGGCCTTGGGGGTCCCGTGCGAGCCAGCAGCCACAGTATTCGCATCTGGTGGATGGGTGAAAAAGTCTCCGAACTTTACCATGTGGGACGTATTGTTTAGGGGCCGAGGCCCCTCTGGTGTGTCGTTGCCCTCGAGTATGACCCCTGGGATGCCTGGGGATCGAAGCCCTGCGCCTGGTATGGCCGGAACCGCCCAGCCATCGGGTCCTGTACCGTGCTGTCCTGTGGACATGACGTCGTCGCCCGCCTCGTCCCACTGCCCTCTGTTCACCGCCCAGTTCCTGATCTCTGTGGTCTGGGAAGTGTACTCGGTTCCGGCGATGCTCATGGATGAGGTAGCGGCATATGTTGAACCTGTGTTCGAGGTCGGCTCCAGTGTCTCTCGAGTCGGGGGCTGCGTCATGCCGCCATCTTGAGAGTCCTAGTAAGGAGGCCAGGAAAAGGCCGTCCGACGGATCTCTTACCCCGATGTCCGTGCACAGGGAAGCGAAGTGTAGGGCATCGTATTCCAAGTGGGCCGCGTCAAGCTCTGTATCGGTTGGGTCGTCGCAGTCCAGTCTCTCCGCCTCGATAGCGGGGTCCTGGGTCAGGCTTGAGTAACGGAAGGCCAGCACCTGTACTGGGTCTGGGCCCACATCTCCAAGCCTCGCCTCGTAGTCGGAGCCTGTAATGGACCATACGAGCCAAGAGAGGTCGACCTGGGCCAGTGCCGGGCAACTGGCGTAGTTCCTTGCTCCAGCTGGGCCCTCCGATTAATGATTGGATGCAGCCCTGAGAAGATTTGGAACGCTCCCGACCAGGTGGGGTTCTGTACGCACTCCGGGGTGCCAGGGGGGGTGGCGGAGCCAGCAAAAGCTTACCAGGTTCTCGAGGCCCTGACTCATCGTTTGGCTGCGCACCGCTCGCCTCCTCTTCATCCTCCTCCTCGTTTGGCTGCGCACCGCTCGCCTCCTCGTCCTCATCCTCCTCCTCCTCCTCCTCCTCCTCCTCCTCTTCCTCCTCCTCCTCGTCCTCCCCATCCTCCTCCTCCTCCTCCTCCTCCTCCTCCTCCTCCTCCTCATCGTCCTTCATCTCCTCCTCCTCCTCCTCCTCCTCCTCCTCCTCCTCCTCCTCCTCACTCTCTTAGTCCTCGTCCTCCTCATCCTCGTTCTCATTCTCCTCGTCTTGCTCCCCTTGCCTCCTCCCTCCTCCTCTTCCTCCTGCTCCTTCTCCTCCTTATTTGACTATGCATGTCTCTTCCTATCTCCCCACGTCAGTTCTCACGGGCATCGTTTCTGGATGGGCTGGTGGGGATACGCGAAGCGACAATAATCCCGATCAAGTCAGGCAGGATAACCACTTAAGTCTCTCCCTCTCTCTATATACACAAATCTGTCCTATATCAACATACATACACAGACATCTACATCGCACGAACTAGGTATAGTACATCATGTAGAGACGCGCAATACGAACACAAATAATAATGGTCAAATGATGGCATGATGCGTCGGGCCACACGAGAAGCTCAAGCCGAATGGCCTTCTTGACAGCCGAGTCGTCCGGGTAGGAGTTCTCCAATCCTTGTCCCCCGGCCCTGCTGACGTCTACCCAGATGCATGTAACACATGCTTGTAAGACGCATCTACGATCAAACACACGCAGAGCCCCGAAGCTGTGAGAAGCATGAGTATGGTCAACCAAATCGTCACACTCGCAATGTAATGCGCACTTCAAATTACACTGATGCGAGCGGGAAACTACGATACTCGATGTCGCGCTGTGCTGCACGCCACACGTTGATCTTACACTTCGCCGTTAGAAGATGGTAGGCCCTGCGGGTGCACAACGGCGTGCAAGGCGACCACGCGTCCGCCACAACGCTGTGCAACGGTTGCTGTTGGTACGTGGTACGTGTACGGGCTGGTGAGGAGCATTGCTTGATTACGCCGCTTCACAAAGAAATTACAATATGCTACTGTCTGTGCTATCGTGACCCGTACGTGTTGCCCCCCGCCCTTTGGATTCTCTGGCGCAGGAAAATGTGTGTGTGTGTGTGTCTCGCTGCTCTGACTGCTGCACTTTCTCCGCCTCGTCGCTGCGCGCGAGGCCGCCACCTGCCAACAAAAACGTCTGCGTGTGTTGGCGTATGCGCCGGGCGGGTCCCTGCGCCAGCGGGGGCGGCTGGGACGCCAAGGTGACGGTGAACGGGCGGCCCCCTCCCCGCCTCCGCTCCGGGCCTCGCCTTCGCCGAGGACAGCTCCGCCCGAGAGGTGCGCCCGCGCGCGCTTCCGCCCTCCCCTCCGGCCCCGCTTGGCCCGCGCACTCTCCGCGCACCTTCACGGGGCGACGGGTCCTCCGCGGGGCGGCGGGTCCTCCTCGACTCCCTCCTCCTCCTCCACCACTCCCTCCCGAGGAGGGCCCGCCCCCCTCCACGGGGCGGCGGGTCCTCCTCGACTCCCCACGGACTCGGCCAGGAGCCGCCGCTGCGACTCCAGGGCGCCTTGCCTCTCTCCAGCTCCTGGCCGCCTCTGCGCCCGCTCTTCCGCTCACTGCCTGGCCCCCCCCCCCCTCCTTTCGGGGGGGCCTCCCCTGGCCGCTCCCTTCAAGGACCGCCCTCTCGGCCGCCGCCGTTTCGGGCGCGCCGCCCGGCTTCGCTGGCTCTCGCGGCCCCATCCGCCTGCGACTTTTCGCGGCTCGCCGCCTGCTCCAGCCCTTCGTGTCGCTCCTGGGCTCTCTCCCTGTCGGTCCACCCTGCTTATTCAGCCGCGGTTGGCTACACCCTGCCATATGCTTAAGAAATCATGGGTTAAGAAATTCATAGTCTCAGAATTTGAATAAAAACCCAGAACTTCGATTATAATCATAGGATTTACACTGAAACATGAAGAATAATCGAGACTCTGGCCGAAAACTTAAGTTGTCTTAAGCATCGCCTAGGGTGTAGTGGCACCTTCCACCTCACCGTAGTTTCCCCTGCTCACTGCCACCTCCCTGCCATCCACGCCTGGATGGCTATGGCTGCAGGCGGCTGCGAGGCCCTGAAAGGTCTCTCAGTGTTCGGGTGGGCGTAGACGCGCGCGCTTCCCTGTTTTCCGTTAAGTTACGTCCTGTCGCAGCGCGCAGGACCACGACGCCCAAAAAGTGTGTGTGTGTGTGTGTGTGTGTGTGTGTGTGTGTGTGTGTGTGTGTGTGTGTGTGTGTGTGTGTGTGTGTGTGTGTGTGTGTGTGTGTGTGTGTGTGTGCGTGTGTGTGTGTGTGTGTGTGTGTGTGTGTGTGCGTGTGCGTGCGTGCGTGCGTGCGTGCGTGCGTGCGTGCGTGCGTGTGTGTGTGTGTGTGTGTGTGTGTGTGTGCGTGCGTGTGTACAGAATCCCTGCTTTGCTTCACGATGGTAATTTTGGCAACACGGCGCCGCGCGGGAGGAAGAGTGTGTGGGTGTGCGTCGGGTCTCTGCTTTGCATGGGGCCAACATGTGATCGCGCGTGGCTCTGAGCCATGGTTCAACTTGCCTTCAGCATGAACGATCGCAACAAAGACGCGTACGCTGAGAAGCTTCGTTGATAGTCGTCGCTGCGCCCCGAGGCCCTCCATCCATCCCCCCCAACGCGGCGGCGAACGCGCGCGGCAGCACAACTGGGCACGTGCAAGTCTGCAACACGAAGTACACCGAACCGCGGGACAGCGCGATATCCGCGACGCCAAACTGACCGGTGCCAACCGAAGGACGTTTGCAGCTCGGGGGACCGTCCGAAACATCCGCGACAACATAATGCAATCGTGAGGGGCGACGACAAGGGGGGACCGTCTCAGGGGGGGACATCGAGGTGGAACCGGCGATACATCACCGATGCAGTTGGGCCGCTGAAGTAAGGAACGCTACAATAAACAACGAACGAAGCCCCTTTTTGGCCCTAGAAGGCCTCCGTGCCCGAGGAGGGCAAGAGGAACAGCAATGGAGCAACCTAAGGAACATCGAGCCCCTTCCGAACCCAAATTGTTCCATATTTCAACGTCTTGACTGTAGGCCCTCGATCGCGAATCCGCACTCCTGGCGGGGTGGGCCTTCAGACCCCTATCAGCTATCCATGGGCGGTTCGGGGTCAATGAGCTGCCCCCTGAGTCCATCCCCCCCCCCGAGCGCTGTCCCTGAAGCCGCGCCTGCTCGAAGCGTGAGAGCATATTTGTCGACTTCGATCGCGATGGCAAGCCGCTCTTTTCAAGGCAGGGCGCCCGCCATGTCTTCGCGGCGCTCGCTCCAGGAGGTTCTGCGCACGGCGCGAACACCGTGGCCTCGTGCGCTGAGATCAGAGTCCTGGGGGCTGTATGGCTAAGAGGGCGTTCGCCGCCAGCTGCCGCTGCCTGCCGTCTGCCGCCAGCAGGCACAGGAGCACCATGAGGCCGAAGAGGATGTTCACGAAGAAGCGTAGCATGTGCGACATGGCCTTGAGGGGGACGAAAGGCGATCCACCGCCGACAGATCGAGAGAGAGAGAGAGACAGAGAGACGGGCTCAGGGGGAACCGTCGACCTGGATCAGGAGGAAAAGAAACACACAGACACAATTAATCATCGATTCCCTAGAAATATGGGAAAATATGGGAAGTGGGGGGGAAGACAGAACCCCAGAAAATATGGGAAAATATGGGGACCATTTTTATTTGTGTGTATTTGTTTGTGTGTCCTGGGGCCCCTTCACTGGACTCGGCGATACACCGCCGATCGAGCGGCGAGGAACCCTCGGCGTCGAGGCCGAACACTCCCGGGCGGGGTGGGGCCCCAGGGCCCCCGTCCGGCAAGGCAGGGGCGAGGGGAGGTCGATGTTTGTCCCCTGGGCGAATCACTGGAGAAACCAGAAAACATCACGACTACAGTGGAGGCCAGTCCACGAGAAACTTCCACAAGGTGCCCAACCCTGAGACCCCACGACGTCCATCGATCTTTGATGTGGGGACTGCTCTCCATGGCAAAACCATCGAAGCCAAAGAAGCCCAGGGCACCCTTGAGGCAAGCAGGGTGTTTCTTGGCATGGGTCTCCCCTGTAAGCAAGGACTGTCGGAAGTCCGCGCGGATGTCTTGGATCGACGCTGTGGGAGGCCCAGCGCCGATCCAAGGAATCAACGCGGACCTCCGAAAGTGAACGTGTATGGTGGGGCTTTCACTGCTCCTTCTCAGAGTCTGGGAGGCCAGACTAGGCTTGCGTATGTGAGGTGGGCGCATGCGGTTGTTAGGCGTGCGCAAGGGCATGCGAAAAGTTTGAGGTAGTGGCTGAAGACACAAATTCCGAAGTTGGTATGGTAGCTTTCGGCATGCCTAGAAGAAAGGTTTTTTGTTTTTAGAAGCAGGGCCTTTGAAAAGAAAAGGGGCAAACCAAATTTATGCAGACGCGTCTTCTTCTTCTTCGATCTCCTGCCTGTCGCCCTTCCTCATTCCGTATTCGAAGGGAGCGGGGCCGCAACCCTCCCATGCGGTCAAGTTTAGACCCACCGCCCTCAGACCAACCATGAACGGGGGGGGGCTTTTGCGCATGACCCCCTGGAACCCTCCGAGACAACTCAAATCAGACATCCGACCCACCCCCGAATCAGACGCCCTCCTATTTCGATCCATGACGTCCAGAGTGTGCAGATGCTTCTTCTTCTTTTTCTTCCTCTTCCTCTTCCTCCTCTTCTTCTCATTGTTCGTATCCTTCGTCTTCTCCTCCTTCTCCTTCGATCTCCCGCCCCTCGCTGTCCCTTTGCTGGCCTCCTCGCTGGACGGGTCGGCGCCCTGGGCGGCCTCCAGCTCGAGGAACGGCGCGCGGCACTGCGGGCAGCGCGCGAGCGCCTGCGCCGCCCGCGACAGGCACTGCAGGTGGTAGCGGTGCCCGCACCTCCCGAGGCCTCCCGGATGGGGTCCGAGGGGACGCACAGAGACACTGAAGGGGCCCCAGGACACACAAATCAATGCACACAAATAAAAAGATTCCCCATATGTTCCCATACTTTCTGGGTTTTTGTCTTCCCCCCACTGCCCATATTTTCCCACATGTTCTGGCTGTGTGTTTTTTTTCCCCTCCTGAGACATACTAATACCATATGTCCTCCTTGGAGGCGCGCGTCCGACTGGAACATATCGTATACCCATCCTGTGGCGTGTCGTTTCCCGAGCGGTGTGCCCAGAAAGCGTCCGCCACGGCGCATCTACTATAAGATTTCTCGGTGTGCGCGTCACCCCTGAGGGGGGGGGGGCGAAGCACATATAGTATGAGTATGTCGGGGTGGCGCCGATCCGAGTAAGGTCAGCTTGTGGTTAACAACAAAAGACGAAGTCAGGACGAGGATAAAGTCGGGTGAGAATAACTCGAGCATCTCTGAGATCGGGCGGGTCTGGAAGATGTCTCGGACGCCGCGGCCCCCTCGGAGCGCTCCTGAACGCTCCAAGAGCGCTGCGGGACGCTCTGGAGCGGATGGATCCTCCTCCTGCCCCCGTCCGACAAAAACAAGCCAGGCGCGTGATTCAAACAAATTAACCGGCCTCAGACGTGTCCCTATCCCTAAGATGGGCGAGCAAAAAGCGAGGACAATCTTAGGGACAGGCCCTCAAAAACTGAGGGAATCCTTAAGATCGGCATCGAGGTGAGGTGATGTCAAACATAGGGATAGGGACATGTTTCAGATTGGTAACAAATGGCTCCCCTGCTCCGGCGAGCCTCGGAGGGGCGCCCGCCAGGTGGAGCCGGAGGACCGCGCCGCCTCCCCGATGGCATCCCCGGCGCCTCGCCGATGCACCGGCGACGCTGGCAACGCCTCGGCCACGCCGGCGCGGAGAAGATTTGGGCTCCACATCGAGCTGCATCGCCGTGCATCGGCGATGCGGCGGGATCCTCCGACATCATCTGGCTCGGACCCCATCTGTGAAGTGGCCCAGGGACACACGAATAAACGGACACAACTCCCAGGACTCCCCGTAATTCCCCAGATCTTCTGGATGCTCGTCTTCCCCCCCCCTTGTCCCACACTCTCCCATATTTTGGAGACTCAAAAATTGGCACCAGCACCAACATAAGGGGTTTGCCTCCACTGGGGGGAAGATGGTCATAGATCTCGATGTTGGTGGTAATCTTTCGGCCACGTAGGAAGCTCGAATAGTACCGCCATCACCGGGATCGGGAGATCATCTTCCCTCGGTGGAGGCACACCGCCGATCTTGCTGCTGGTCTCAACCTCTGGGCCTCCGAAGATTCTCCTGGGGGGCGACGATTACTCGTGTCGGGGATGGACAGACCCCCCTTTAGTAAAACGTGGTTTAGTGAAAACGACCTGAGGCCCAAACCTGGCGGGCGCAAGCCTGGAAAATAACGGCCACGGCGCCATCTCTAGAACCGAAAACGGACAATTCACTAATCGACGTGTCACTGTTGGGGGTTCTGTCCACCCCCGATCGTGGCTCTGTGTGCTCCCTCCCCCTCCCCGACTCTGGGAGGCCCCGGACCTCGTCGTCGCGATGCGCCCTCCGCCCCACGCCGGCGGCACCCGGGCGGCCGACAGCCCCGCGGAGCTCCCGCGCCCGCGCGCGGCGGAGAGCCCGGGGGCGACCTGCCGCCGCACCGCGGCCGCGACGGCCGCGGCCGCGGCGGGCCCGCCGGGGCAGCGCAGGCTGCACATGCAGACGGGGCAGTCGTCCTCCCAAGGGGGCCCATTGGGCACACAGGTGGAGAGACACACACCCCAGGATTCCCCAACCTTTCCCCCTTATTTTCTGGGTCGTCGCGCCGCGACGGGGTCAGAGCACATCCCAGGGTTCCCCAACCTTTCCCCTACTTTCTGGGTCGTCGCGCCGCGACGGGGTCAGAGCGCCTTCGGCGCGCGGTGGCTGCCCGCGACGGGGGTCGATATGTGGCTGTCGGCGGGGGTGACGCCCCCCCCCGACGCACATGAAGAAACTCGGGGTACGTTCTGGGTGGTCGCCTTCCCCCCCACTTCCCGTAGCTTCCCCTCCCGAGTCCTCCTCTTCAGCCTCGGTGGAGTGCCCGAGCGGGTACGAGGTGGCCCACGGGAACGCGCCCAGCCGCTCCGCTGGCAGCAGCCCCGCGTCCACCAGCAGCCGCTCCAGCACCACGGGCCCGATCTTCACGGTCAGGGTCAAGGCGAGGCACCCAGCCGCCCGATCCCAATCTGCGGGCGCCCCGTACTGGCGCACGTAGAGCAACGGCAACACGCACATCTGGGCGCACCTAAGCAGCAGCGTCACCGCGCTCCGCGACTGGACGACGCCGCTGGCCAGCAGCGCGGCAAGCGACGGAAGCCCAGAGCACGCGGGCGCCCACCTGGTCAGCCCACGCAGCGCCGCCTGCTGGAGGCGCGCACACACAAAGATTGCTTTTGATATCGTTGCCCTGGGATCTACTGACCCAGGTCAACGCAAACCCGGGTCAGCCAGGCTTCTGCAGGATCCTGCAAGATCCCGCAGGATCCTGTGCCCTAGCCCAGGTCAGTGCAGCTCTGGCTCTGCAGGATCCTGCAAGATCTGGCGCTCTGGCTGACCTCGGGGGCGGCCAAGAGGGGGGCGCCCAAGAGGGGGGGGTGCAAATCATGGCCGGCGGCATGTTCGCGACCCAAGGGGGGGGCCGGGGACGTAATGAAATAAGAAGAGGCGCCATGAAATATGGGGAAATATCATGGCCCACGCCATGATACCCACCCCCCCTGGTCATCACCCCCCTCTTTGCCGCATCCAATGACCCCCGTTTGAAATGACCCCCGTCTCGGAGGAGGAGGAGGAGGAGCAGGAGGAGGAGGAGGAGGAGGAGGAGGAGGAGGAGGGGAGGAGGAGGAGAGGGAGGAGGAGGAGGAGGAGGAGGAGGAGGAGGGGAGGAGGAGAGGAGGAGAAGGAGGAGAGGAGGAGGAGGAGAAGATACAACAACTGCGGGGGGGGGCACGTCGGGGCGGCGGCGCTGCGATCGCCATAGTTAGAGGCCTCCTAGATGGGGTCGGAGTAGATGGGGTCGGAGGATCGCGCCGCATCGGCAATACATGGGCGATACATCGGCGATGCAGCGGCGATGCACCGGCGATACATCGGCGACATCGGCGATGCATGAGCGACGCCAGCGTGGAGAATCGGGCTCCACATCGAGCCGCATCGCTGATGCATCGCCGATGCACTGGCGATGCGGCGCGATCCTGCGACCCAATCTACTCCGACTCCATCTGGGAGGCCTATAGAATAGTAATACGCAGGCGAGCACCAGCGTAGGATCTGAAACACTCTCGGAGGGGGCACGACGGAGGCGGCCTCCTAAGGTAGACAAGCGTGTTCTACGACTCGCAAAGTACATACTCGCAAATGGCCTGGATCCGCCGCGGGGGATCTACCATACATCACATCGAAGGAGGCATGTGTTTTTCCAGCATTTGCGAGTAGGCACTTTGCGAGTAGCGGAACGCGCTCGTTGATGAGGAACCAGGCGGGTATCTAACATGGTGGTCCCGCGCTGGAGCCACGCGGTTTCACGTGTACAGGCCACCCAGGTGGGTATCTAACATGGTGGTCCCGAACTTGAAACAAGTGTTTTCACGTGTCCAGGCCGCCCACGGGTGTATCTAAAATGGTTGTCCCGAGCTGGCACCCACGTTTTTACGTGTCCAGGCCACCCAAAGTGGGACGTTCCGCGGCGCGTCCTCCTGGCATGTTCCCCTGTAAATTAGCTCTGGAGCAGCCACTATGTGCCCAGGCAGCTTGAGCTTAAGATCCAAATCAGTTCTGTCAGGACTCGGAAACAAAGGAGGACTCGGTCCACAACGCTATAGATCACAATCGCGGCATGGCACATCGCAGTCCAGCACGGCGCAGCACAGCACAGCCCTCGGCACGGTACATCCAAATCGATACACTCAAAATTGCAACCTGGCACGTTCCTTGGCACGTTCCGTGGCGCGTCCCGTGACGAGTCCCCTTGATACGTCGCGCGGCGCGTCCCCTGGCACATCCCGTGGCACGTCCATTGGCACGTTCCGTAGCGCGTCCCTTCGGCACGTCCCGCGGTGCGTCCCCGTGGCACTTCCCCTAGCGCGTCGCCTGGCGCGTCCCCTGGGACGTTCCGCGGCGCGTCCTCCTGGCATGTTTCCCTGTCAATTAGCTCTGGGGCAGCCACTATGTGCTCAGGCAACTCGAGCTGAAGATCCAGATCAGTTCTGTCGGGACTCGGATGCAAAGGAGGACTCGATCCACAACGCTATAGACAACAATCGCGGCATGGCACATCGCAATTCAGCACGGCGCTGCACAGCACAGCCCTCGGCACGGTACATCAATATCGATACACTGAGCATTGCGTTTGCCCGCCGCCCAAGCAAGAGTCTTTGAAGCGTTGCCTTGCCTTGCATTTCTATATTCCTTTCTGGGTTGGTGGGTCGATTATGTTGTTTTATTTTCCGCGGAGTAATTGACGGATTGAGGGAGGGAGTGGCAGGAGGAGGAAGAGGGAGGAGGGAGGAGCAGGAGGAGGAGGAGGAGGAGGAGGAGGAACGAGCTTCTATCCCCCGCCGAGAGTTCAAGAGGGGTGGTGGTGGTC